TGCGCTTGGACGTTTTGGCTGCTACTCAAACCCTCCAGTTTTTAGCGGGCTTAAAAGCCCACGACTCCGAACCCTGAACCCCAAAGTTGGACGTGGCATCTGGTTTAGGTTTGGGTTGAATGCTTTCAAGTGCCAGGTCCAGCCTTTAGGATGACCATTAGGAATCATAATACCATCAAAAATTCTCGTCGTCTGGTGCACAGTAGGGAAAATGGCTAGTTTGGCAGGCTCAACGACACTTTCTGACCCTTCTAAGTGCCCATCTTCAGAAAAGTGGGTTTTGGGCTCTTAGGCGGACCATTATGAATCGTAATGGTAACGAATCTTCGAGTCGTCTGTTCCGCAGTAGGAAAAACCGGAAAAACAGCTACCTTGGCAGGCTCAAACACCCTTTCTGACCCTTCTAAATGCTCATCGTCAAATCCTCAAAGTTGGACTTGGCATCGGGCCTGCAAGGCTTGGGAACCCAAAATCCCTGAAGTTGCGTAGGGGGCTCGTGGTTAGGATTGCCCCGGCATGTCCAAGCATTTGCTTGTTTTAAGCGCACAACGCCGGCGGATCATGCCAGAGAGGCTCGTCTACGCGAACGACGACTGCATTCTTTGCAAGCCATGGATCCTCGCCAAGCCACGTATTGGTGGAAATCACCAGAGCGATGCCATACAGCCACACCGAGTAACAATGCTCTTGACAGTTGGACTGCGCAAGCATGCACTCGTTCAAACCTGCTTGAAAGAGCTGCCGGTTCGACAGAACCATTTCCTCACTGCCTTCATCGAAAACTATGCACTTGTGAACTTGTCGCTGAAAGCCCTTCAAATTCGGTTGTCGAATGCTCTCACATGAAAGCACCAGCGTCCGCGCTGCGCCCCAGAGCCGCTTCGCGTACTCGGTTTTTCCATACTGGCTGGGGCCAACAAGAACCAGGAAAGGAAAGCGTGCCCTCGTGCCCACTGTTGCAAAGAGCTGCATCCATTCGACCTGCAAGTGGATTTTCTCAAGCACTGTTCAACACAAGCGCAACCACAGCGAATGCTAGGAAAAATTTACAGGACAAAATGCTGCATGCATACACAGCGACAACTGCAGGAACGATACGGCTCGGCTTCCAAGGCATCCAAGTTTCCAGCAAAGCCTTGACCGCTGCGTCCCGTCGCGCCTGTTGCCACGCCTCATGATGCTGGATCTCGGCCAAATAGTTGCGAGTGCCACGGCCGCGCGCCGTCATGAGCTCGGATTTCGCCACAGAATTCTCAAGCTTGTGGCGTCGCCAAAGGTTAAATATTGTTTGGAGTTCCACCGTAAAATCACGATATGCCACGTAGTTGGTAGCCACATGCACGCTGCCTATCTTCGGCGCCTGACAGTAATAGTGGCCAGCATCAAGAGCCCTTGTCAAGTATCTGCCTTTCCCCAAAACAGGCTGAACATGTGGCTGGGCACCCATAAACGTCCAACAGCCATTCTCATTGCTCAACCTATGGCGTCGATTTGCATCTGTGATAGCAAGGTGGAAATGCACTAGGTTCTCGGGGCACTTTCTACGCAGCGAAAGTTCCATTTTCAATGACCGGCGAGGCCACTCCAACTTTTCGCACGCGCGCAA